GAAATTTAAAATATTATCTGTCCAGAACTTTCTTTATATAACGCAAGGCTAGTTCTGTCAAAAACTGCTTATGATCATCTTTTCTTTTTCATTTTAGTAGAATGTTTGCATCACGTATCTTTAATTATGAATGTGTTATTAAAATTTCGAAACTTAATTTTCAACACTATTTTCAGCTTATATGACTCTAGAAATCGCACCAGACACAGAGTCGACTTTTATGTTGGAAATGAGACACAGTAAAAAGAAGCTTGTGTTGTAGAAGCTGCTAGAAGCTTCGATTTACTGTATCTCATTTCCAACAAAACAATGTACCAGGCATTTAAAAAATATATGATAATAAACTAAAAAAAAAGACAAATTTTATTTAAAATTTTATAAGTTATAACAGTAAGTTTGTTAATAATGAAAATATTGCATTCTGAAAATATATTGACAACAGAGCCCAAACTTATTAAAAAATAGTTAGACATATTTATAAAAATCCATAATGTCTAAGTATTAGTCTGTTACACCCATTAGTGTATATTAGTGAAATTTTTGTTTTGACACCCGATTTATATATTTTTAGAGTTTCTGGTTTTTCTGAATTCATTATCATTATCGTACTTTAATCATCCACACCTCGCCACTGTTTAGCATTCCAAAGCACTATAATGTTAGGAAAACACACACGTAGTTTATATTTCTGGAATTGGAACTGTGATGTGTCCATATCGTCAACCCATGATAGGAACCGAATTAATAATTGCTCGAAAAATCTGAATGATAAGTATGATAAAGCCAAGACTATGCTTTTTTGTATTGCTGAAATAAATACATTATTTCAGCAAGGACACGTGCAATGTAATACTAATAATAAAACACTGGGGTGTACCGTTCTAGAGATTTGATCAATAAAATATAATAGATAATAGCAGTAACACTGCAAAAAACAAAAACCCCATCAAGACTCGAAGCCGCACATTTCCCTCGTATAATAAACAATTGCCGTTGAATTTCGATTTTTTTGTGAAAATTGGCATGCCTTGGGTAAAATCTGAAAACGGATTCATAAATAACGAGTACAGGAGTATGTTATTTTATAAAACTTAAACCCAACTTACTTTGAAAACTTTTGAGGAGATGCCATCACATTTTTGGTGGGGGTGATCAGACAAATTTTGGTTAAGTTTTACTATATACATACAAAATTTGCCAACAATCGGTCCAGTAGTTTCGAAGATCATCTGCCTAACAAAAATCGCCACAGACGGCGGACAAGCAGACAGACAGACGAAAATCGGAGACCTATTTCTTCATACTCCAGGGGTCGAGAAAACACAAGAGTAGGAAGTCGGCTGATGAACTTGAACTAACTAGATATGTGTGGACTGTTAAAGAATGGGTAAAGTAGCTTGCTATGCTATGTTTCAAGTGAAGTTTTCTATAACAAAATTTTGTGATGACGTCATCAACTCTTTATCAAGGACACATATATCAATTGAAATATGAGCAACGGGATGAGCGTTCTTGATTTGATTAATAAAACAGATTGCCTCATTAAGTTTTTTGAGTCACTCTTTATATAAATATGGATGCATTCATAAATTACAGGTATAAATCATAGTATTTTACATATTTTAGATAGGATTTATTCTCAAAATTTTCATCATCACTTTTTGGGAGGGGGTAAACCGACAAATTTTGATTAACGATTTACAATCCTTCGGTTTAACAGTTTCAAAGTTAAATGGCAAAATGTTGTTATACAATTTTTGTTTAAATCTGGATCTATTGTATATGGTAAAAACTCAGAAGTATCTTATCTATAAAATTTAAGTAACATTTACTATTGGAAATTTTGATAATTAGGAACATTTTGGTTGGCGTTTTATCATCTACATGATATTCTTAATACACCTATAAAATTTAACAATCAACGTCGAGGAAAGATGAAAGTAAAGATTTGTCGGATAGACTGTGTTACAATACTTTTTTAGCCTACGCTCTGGAAGCAAAGAAGTAGATTCCACCAAATAGTGAAATTGACTTTCTGTTTCCAAAAATGTTGCTGGAAACCACAAATAAACCGCTTAAAATTATGATAATGATAATTTACAGCCCTAATATTCTCTCCAGTTGCTTGCCTGAATGTAACAAAGGATCTATGAACCGGACTTGTATGAACACACTTTAGGCTATAAAAATGCGATATATTTATAACAATCAAAACACCGGAAAAACTAATTCAATTTAATATAAAATGTTTTACGAAAAATTAAAGACCTAAAATCCTATTGTTAGGTCCACAGTTGTTATTATAATTTATAACAGTCAAAGACGCCGAAAAGAATCCAAGCGATAATGATTGTATTCATTATTATAATCCTGAGTTGCTTAGGTATACGTAGCTGCCAATAAACATTGTTCCTATCACAAAGTCATTGTTCAGTAATTTTACCTGAGTTGGTATAAAGTCCTAGGGAATAAATTCCTAAAATGTAGATCTACATGTACTTTTATTCGTCTTTTGTTTTATTGAAAGTGAGACCGTACTTATTAGTACAAAAAAAAAAATTGGTCGGAGCTTATTTCAACAGAAGTACGACAAATCCCGCTTCTTAAGAAAATATATAAAATTTGATTTTGCGATTTTCGTTTTGTGGTAACCTGTATAAAGTAAAAACCAGTGGTGTAATTAACACCCTCGCCGCGGGGACGCAAATTCCAAAGAAGGGGTGCGGTCCTCAGCATAGATAATATGAAATATATTTTAATCAGATAACCAAGTGGAAAAAATGTAAATATTCTCAATTTCTCAGTACATGCTTAACTTCGACTGTTTATGTTTGTAGTTATGTATAGAATTAGCACGTTCATATTATAACAGCGGTAACATAAAAATGAAATTTGATTGATTTTGTCTCCTCAACGCAGAAGAAGATTTGGCAGCATTCGGTTTTTGCAATTTCCAAGTTAAATTGTAAAATATTGTTATAATTAATTTAGATTGTTTTCTTCAAAAATCTGGATGTCAAGAGTAAAACTGAACACGGGTTTATAAATCACACATGCAGAACCATGTTATTTTATAAAATTTAAAAAACATTTATTCGGAAGAACTGTAAGATGACGTCATAATTTTTTTGGGATACCGCAAACGAATAAATTCTGATTAGCGATTTAGCATCCATTCTACAACCTTCAAACTTTTGCAAGATTTCAGAGCATTCGGTTTTATTATTTCAAAAATAAACTTTAAAATAAAATTTTAATTTTTTTTCAAAAATTTGGATGTCTAGAGTAAAATTAAACACAGATTCTTAAATCACACATGCAGAAGTATGTAATCCATAAAATTTAAAGAAAATCTATTAGGCAAAATTGTAGAATAACGTCATCACTTTTTGGGGAGCAAAAACGAAAAAAATTTGAATAACGATATACTATGCTTATATAACCTTAAATAAAACGTTTGCAAGATTTCAGAACATTCGGTTTTGCAATTCCAAAGTTAAATTGCAAAATGCTATAAAATTTCGATTTTTTTCCAAAAATCTGGATGTCTAGAGTAAAAACTCAACACCTACTCATAAACCGCATGTGACGGAATATTTTATTTTCTAAATAATATTTACTAAGGTAGGATATGACGTCATCCTATTGTTGGTTAACGTTTTACGATCCACATGATATACCTGATACACATACAAAATTTGACAACAATCGATCCAAGCTTCGGATTATCTGACTAATAAAAATCCGGACAGACGGCAGACAGACAGACAGACGGAAACCAGAGACCTATTTTTTCCTACTCTAGGACTTTAGGAGTCATGAAACGTCGAGAAAATATAAAAGTCCAAATAGACTCGATTAAAACACTTCCGTAGCTTCCGCTCAGGAAGTAAAAAAATAGAGTTAATTCACTCGTGGTCGCTGCAAAAGATTTACATCCAGTTACCTGTTTAACTTAAATTTTGCAAACAATGGCAAGAAAGAAGATTTCATTTTTGACCGGTTTGGCTTCCTTCTAAGGATAAATATCATTTAATGCCACCTAATCACGCTTGCCAAAATTAACCCTAATCAAAAATATAATAACTTTAGTACTGCACAATCACGTAGCCATAACCCCAAAACAGGTCACATTTCAGCAAATGTCACTAATAAAACCAACCTGTTTGCGTTAAATATTTGTAGTTAATTTTAATTTTATTTCCTCCAAAATGGCGGATAAGCAAAAACTAATGCTGTATTATTGTCACTACTACTGATGCTCTCAAAATTATTTAGAGCGTCAGTATTTACTTCTTTTGTTTGTCCATATAGAGGGGAGTGTTATCAAGTGTTTTTTGCATTGAAGCTCGCAAATCTACTTATTTGATTAAATAAATTCAAGCAAAAGTAACGTTCATTGTCAAGAACTTTAGCTTCCACATTTGTCTGTTTATTCTGAATATTACACCTTCTGCTGCTAATTTACAAGTGTTATTTTTCACAGTTTTGATTTGACCTTTTGATACTTTTTCCGAAATAAATCAACGACCCCATGAATATGATCATAAATAAAAAGAAACTTACTGATTACACTATAATTTGTTCTTAAATTTTCTTCCATCCTTCACCATTAAATGCTTTACTACAAACTACAACGAGGTTATGTTTTCAATTTTTTAGCCACTAGAACTCAAGACAATTTTGGAAAAATGCCAAAAAAGCATTGAAAAAATAAAACATACTGCCGTACTTTGCCACAAAATCGATGAATAAATTCTTGAATAAAATCGTCGACTTGAAAATTTTATCCAGCTGCTATTTTAACAACTACACAACTTAAAAACGTTGAAAATAATATCCACAATCACGCAGAACAATGTCGCTGCAGAAATCCAGCTTGTGTCTAGTAAATAATTGCCTGTGTCCGAACGGCTGTGATCTCGATGGCGGTCGCAGAAAGAACCGATCAGCAAACGCCGAAGAAAAGCCAACATCCCGGAGTCGAGCCGCCAATGTTCTTCTGGCTGTAGTTGAAGTGACGTCGGCCAATGGGGGTCGTAGATGTAGGCCGAGTATATAAGCAGTCAGAGACAAGGCGGAGGGTCTGTCAATTGTGTTCAGCGGTGTAGTGCTTTAGTTTGATAGTGATGGCGCGCAGGCAAGGTGCGCTTTTCGTACTTGCGATATGTGCCTATACCGGTAAGTACCCAACTATAAGCGGAACAGACTCAACTTTCAAAACTCTCTTTATTATCTGCGTATGTACCTACGTTCTTCTAGCCATTATCAGGAAGAAGAAATTTATTTTTGTCGATTGCTTTCACTTGTCGTAAGATTAATACGGCCTTCGGTAATGGATACGGCAAACAGGTTTTTGAACTTTTGCCATTAATTCGTACTTTTTAGTGAAATGCAATCACAAGTTTTTATTCGAAAAAACGACGGCTAATTTTATTAAGACTGGATTAAGTTACTCGTGCAACAAGTATAAACAACAAGAAATAAGTAATTACTGTTGAAACCCCCACCTCCGCGCTTGGTTAGTTACAATGTATTAATATCGCAACAATAAAACAATAACAGCAGCTGGAAATAGTAAAAGTGGTGGAGACTTCAATGAGCAGTCAAAAACAAAGCTTAACGTTTTTGAAGACGATTATGTTGTCGTCTGGATTAAAAGAAAAGCCAAAAAAGTTGAACTGGTGTGAAGACCGAAATGAACCGTAAAATTTGCCAAGTGTACTGTTTTGTTACTAAATTAGTCGACGTTAAAAAAATTTTAATGTCACAAGTTAGTGATGATACCTGAGTCTTAAAATACATACTTGGCTAAATTTAGAATGACGCTCAAATTGTAGAAATTTTACCTGTAGGTGATAAAATATGTGATATCGTGAAAGTTGATTGCCTTGCAGTTTTCTCTCTAGATTTTTAGAAGATATCCAGTTATTTATTCGTCGACTTGTCATTCCAAGCATACTCTGAATTTATCAGATTTTTTGTGATAATGTAGTAAGTAATTATTAAAAGGTCGACATTACTTTCATAATCGTTATTACAAGTCATTAACTAATGTGGTAAATTATGCACTTAACGTAGAGTTTAACAAACGGAATAAATTCAGACGCAAATTTTTACCTAGATGTTCATTCTATCCAAACACGAATTTCTTCAAATTGAAACAATAGAAACTAAGTGTAAATATTTTATTTGATGTTTGACCTACATTCATCTACTTACAAATCAAAATGAATTTTCATTAGCTTTGTTAAAAATCACTTTATTACGTTCTGAAGACAATCTAACAGTTTGAACAATCAAATTATGCAACTTTGACATATCCCATAGTGAGGATTAGCATATAATATGTAGGGAATTGCGAGTGGTCCATATTAAGAATTTAGTAAATTACGCGTCGAACAGTAAATACTTGAGTGCTCCACCCAAATTCCTGCCACAGCACAATGTGATCCCGAACAAGGTGGTGAATGAAAAATTTCTGTGGTTAACCTTGCCTGGAATCAGTGGCTCGAAGAAAAAAGTTAAACAAGAATTTTCTGATATTTCGCGACTTTGCATGTTGTAAATAAAATAGGAGCATGAAACCACACTCCACTTTTCAATATATTACATAATTATCTCGTTACGTCAAGACTTGGGGCAATTTTATATTTGGATGGTGATTTTTTCAGAGTAAGTTCAGAGTATATTTTTTGTTACATACAGCAGTAAATTTCAATCTCGACAGAAAATCTTTTTATCGGCAACACTATCTCGAAAATTTGACTTTCTCTTGGTTAACTCATTATGTGCGCGTAAGCGAATCTATCCTTAAGTATATTAAAATGATATTCACGACATTAAGTTACATAATTACAAACAGTTTGCACTCTGTTGGCTATTTTTCAATATCCTGCTTTTCAGTATTTGCACAACAGTCTGAAGAACCACCGAAAAAGGAAGATAGTTTCGAAGCAGAATTATGCAAAGACAAAGACGCCGGTGAGTGGTTCCGTTTGGTGGCAGGAGAAGGAGATAACTGCCGTGACGTCATTCAATGCACATCTTCTGTAAGTAACTTGGAAGAACATTCACTTCCTGTTCTTTTAATTATAAGTTCGAGCGAGGCAAAAAAATCTACAACCTTTCTTTGGACGACGCCTTGAATTTCAATCTCGATTGAATTTTGCAGACAAGGTCATCTAAAGATTTGCACAACAAACAGTAGCAAGACTGATTTTATCACTCGTTGCAGGGTCTTCAAGCCATTCGTTGTCCGGCAGGTTTGTATTTCGACATCGACAAACAGACCTGCGACTGGAAAGATTCCGTCAAGAATTGCAAACTCAAAAACAAAGAACGTAAAGTCAAGCCTTTGCTGATCACCGACGAGCCTCTCTGCCCCGACGGATCTTTAGCTTGCGGCGACGGCAACTGTATCGAAAGAGGTCTTTTCTGTAACGGAGAGAAAGACTGCTCGGACGGATCCGACGAGAATAGTTGCGGTAAGTTAGAATGTCATCAGGTGTATTGTTGCATCCTTGGGTCATGTAACGCCAATAAATTGTGTGTGACTTTCCCTTTCGCGAGTTGGAATGCAGATGGATGGCTGTGTTTACGGTGATGGAACAAGTTAGATCTCGGTGAGCTGCAACCCAGGGACCTTGTGAGGTTACATTTAATGCGAAAGTCGATATTAAGAAATAACTTTCGTTGTCCTTGATGTAACGTCTACAACGTCGGCGGGTGCGGCGCCGTAATACATGCCACTTTGACGGCCCACTTTCCATCACAAGAATGTAGGTGCTCGCCAAAGCTGCCTCTCAACTATCAAACATCTTGTTGCGACATTATCACCCTTTACTCGCTTTTTAATTGACCCGCAACCTTTACAAACCCGTTTCACTTTTTCTAAAGAACTATTATGTTAATTGCTTCGATTTTTGGCCAGCGATGTTTGTAAATAAAGACGTGTAATCGGATGAAAGTGTACTCTTACTTTCTTCGGCTCGATACATTTTACTTCCTTTCAGATATCGACAACGATCCGAATCGCGCTCCGCCATGCGATCCAGCTGTTTGCGTCCTTCCGGACTGTTTCTGCTCGGAGGATGGCACCACCATCCCCGGAGATCTTCCATCGAAAGACGTTCCTCAGATGATCACGATTACTTTCGATGACGCCATCAACAACAACAATATCGAGTTGTACAAGGACATATTCAACGGCAAGCGCAAAAACCCTAACGGTTGTGACATTAAAGCCACATATTTCGTATCCCACAAATATACAAATTATTCTGCCGTACAGGAAATGCACCGCAAAGGTCACGAGATTGCCGTCCACTCCATCACGTAAGTCGTTAGAGCTATCGATTTCCGCGGTAATTTCTAATTCGATTATGATTCAGGCACAACGACGACGAACGTTTCTGGTCTAACGCCACGGTCGACGACTGGGCCAAGGAAATGGCAGGAATGAGAATCATCGCCGAGAAATTCGCCAATCTCACGGACAACAGTGTGGTAGGCGTCCGAGCTCCCTATCTGAGAGTAGGTGGTAACAATCAGTTCACCATGATGGAAGAACAGGCCTTCTTGTACGACTCCACGATCACTGCTCCACTCAGCAACCCCCCATTGTGGCCCTACACCATGTACTTTAGAATGCCCCATCGTTGTCACGGAAATCTCCAGAGTTGCCCCACTAGAAGTCACGCCGTGTGGGAAATGGTTCTCAACGAGTTGGATCGTAGGGAAGACCCCACCAACGACGAATATCTTCCCGGTTGTGCTATGGTTGACTCCTGCTCCAACATTCTGACCGGAGATCAATTCTACAACTTCCTCAATCACAATTTCGACCGCCACTACGAGGAAAACAGGGCTCCTCTAGGTCTCTACTTCCACGCTGCTTGGTTGAAGAACAACCCCGAGTTCTTGGACGCCTTCTTGTACTGGGTGGATGAGATCTTATCCAATCACAATGATGTATATTTCGTTACGATGACACAGGTCATTCAATGGATACAGAATCCGAGAACTATCAGTGAATCGAAAAATTTCGAACCTTGGAGGGAAAAGTGTGTCGTTGAAGGAATTCCAAACTGCTGGGTGCCACATTCTTGCAAACTTACGTCTAAGGAAGTTCCTGGAGAAACTATCAATCTTCAAACTTGCGTGCGTTGCCCCAATAATTACCCATGGGTTAACGATCCTACCGGCGACGGTTTCTTCTAAGTCACCCATTTAGCAAATTAAGGGACTTTAAATAGTGTTACCCTTGCCAAAACGGCTCTTACCTGGGGTTTTAGTGATCCTACTGTTCCATCTTATATTTATTATTTCTCAATGACTGTATGCGTGATTTATTTGTTGATTTTTTGTAATAAACATTACCTTGATAAGTTTAGACTGTTAATTCTCGATTTAATATCCTAATGGCGATATAGCGTTCTAAATGTGAATTACACCAACATGTAACATACACTCCTAGTAGGTATATGTAAAATTACGATGATTATGTTTTGTAAAAATTTTAATAAAACTATAATCATAAAAACTTACACGGTTGTATCTTTTAAACTATCTCACCCATTTATGAATCGAGTGTTAAATTACATTAATTAAGTGTTAAAATCGGTCATCAAAACCACTCAAGCAGAGATGGTAAATTATACGATACAGTAGCAATTTCTTTAAATCAAGCAAAAAAACAGGGTCAGCTCGATGTAGCAAGAAGACTTCGTCTGACCCAAACCTCGTTAAATAAAATTTGGTGAAAAAAAAACTGATTTTAATTTGTACTAGAAGCAATTCAAGGTAGCATTCCAGTTACCCTTGTTTTTTCCATAAATGCAAAGTATTTAGTGTCGTTTTCCTCAGCACCACACCTACAGCAATCATTACGTTTGCGATTAACATATTGAAGAAAAAATTCCTACATAAAATTAATACTTCTATCCACAATCTAGCTCCTATTAATATTCAATATATATTAAATGACTTTTGACATGACATTGAACTTTACGCTAGCATCGATAGATGTAGGTAAACTTTCATTTTCCTAAAAAAGATTACCGGTAAATGACACCCAAAACGATTCTCAGAAGGAATTGTTAACTTGGATACCCACTAAACAACATTTACTCACTGCTAAGTTTGTGCAACGATTTGATTCAAAATTTCCAACGGAATATATAACGAGACAATTTTTAACATTTGTATGTATTTACAACCCCTGCACAAAGATACAAATTGTTTACTTATAATTAAGAAAAAACAAGTAATTACAACATTAATTAAAATACTTTGTTGTGGAGTCATGATTAAGTAATGAAGTAAAGATTAATATTTCAGTAGGCGTAAATGAAATACCTACTACATAACGTGGAAAATTACGACCGGTGTGTTTCACAAAAAAGAAAGAAAATCATAAAATCATACACATAATTTATTAGCCGCGTAGGCAACTTAAGTTAGCTCAGTCAAACATAAGCACGATCAAACAATATGCAAAAAATGCGTCTTCCTTCTCAGTTTATCTTAAGATCGGTAAGCAATAAATAAAATTGCTATACTCATGCGTACGTAGCATATGAAGTCATGAAACAGGTCTGCTAAATCGCTTTCACCATTATTACTTTCACTTTTCTAGACTGCAGCAGCAGTCGTAGGAATGACTGTTTAAATGAATCTTTAAAAAAGCTTTCTTAATAAATATATAGCTTTAAGAAACAAAGTAAAAGCTAGTATGTGTTAGGAAACAATCCACGCATTGTTCGTAGTCTGTTTTCAAAGTTCACTATAGACATCTTGTAATTTAAATATTCAGAGAAATCGTGAACAGGCGCCAACAAATTATATACAGGGTGTTGACTCTCAAATGATCAATCAATTTACTCCAAAATCACTGAATGTATAGGAAATAAAGAGAGAAATCAATAATCTACGGAACAATTCTAGCACTTCCGGTTCCACGGTAAGGAAATACAACATTTACATTTATAAACAGTTTTAACTTTTTCTGCAGATTATTTTTATCCTATAGAGTAATATTAAATATTTTGTAACAGTATTGGAAATAATTGACATTATAGAAAACCCTTTTCGTCGAAAAATGCTTACGTAGAATGGCTGTGTCAATTAAAAATAAAATTTCTTTCATGTACATTTAAATACCTGTTCAACATTTTTTTATATTCCATACAAATTTATAATGGTAGAGTATTAAGTTGTTAAATTTTTTGGGTCTCTAGACTGAGAGAAAAAATAAATAATTTTTGATCTCTTAATCATCCCGAGATTGGTCATACCGATTCTTAAATGTCAATATGACAGTGAGAGTAGCAATTACTCATTAAACTAAGTCTTTCAAGGCTTATTTCTCGGTTCACTTTAGACTTTATTTATCTCACCAAAGTGATCTTGTATAACATTTAAAACTACGTCATTAAGCGATATAATCCGGGTAAACCTACAGTTTTTCTAATCGTGCAACTATAAATTTCGGCGAGTAAAATCAAATCATAATGTAAAAAAAATAGCAAAACAGAAAAACAAATATCCTCACCAAGAAATTGGGGTAATTTTCTTCAACAAATTTAATCTTCGTAAGTACTTGGAACTTGTCGACAAATTTGTTGTGCCATTATGACCCAATTGTATATTATTGTATGAAGAAAATAGTGAAGATGATATGTATAGAAAATTAATTAAAAAATAGTCAGATGATATATCTGTCCTTCCTAAAATGTTGATGACGTCATCACAAAATTATGTTATAGAAAAACTCACTTGAAACACAAGCACAGCATGCTTCTTTACTTGTACTTTAACAGTCCACACATATCATTATTTTAACTTTTGGGGGTTATAAAAAAAATTTGAAGAATCTGCATTTGTCCGCTTGTACTTCAAGGAAAGTTCCGTGTGAATAACTTTGGACCAATTTTTTAATGTCTGCTACTACTATAAAATTTTGTTGCATATATTATTAATAATTGACCCTTAGCCTTAAATACTCAAGAACCTTGACATTCTAAACTAACCTGATCGAGTGTATGTACATTTTGTGATAGGAATACAAACGAACTTCTTATAGTGGTCTAACGTACTTACATTATAGTTGCTTTGAATATATTTAAATAAAAACTTACATCATTACGCGATTATTCTGGTTTAAACAATATTTTAATAAAATTGATTAAAAATTAACCATATAATTTATGGGAGTTCATATGTCAATAAACCGGTAAAACTAGTGTTGGGATTTTTCTTGAAAAAATCGGTGACGACGACGTTAAAAACAGGATTTAAAAGAAGATGCACGTTTGATGCATCTAAAAATCGTTCTCCTAAGGTCGACTATTTTCGAGCTACACCCATGGGTTAACTTTTTCAAATGGGACTACCATCTCGTGATATCTTTTTTAAAATTCATAGTAGAAATACTATTTGTTTATTCAAATATTACTCATAAAAATTATTCTAGATTGCGTGACTAAAAGAAGTAACACAACTTTTCCGTTGCTAATGGGTTCGATTAAAAATACAAAGATACAGGGAGGTTTTAAAGACAAGATCCAGCAGTTTGAAGTTATAGTTGCGACTGTCAACAGTCTGTAGACAGTGGTTACCAACCTCAGCGTTAAGGAATATTCCTATATTAATTATGATAGATCTATCGCTACAAGAATCGAGAATGTATCTTCGAAAAATAAAGAACGAAACCAATTTTATCCGTAATAGTAGGACCCTGAAAATCCGCTATTCTTTCCCCAGGAAATGACACAGAAATAATATAATAAGTAACATTCGCTTAGAACAAACGTTTAATAAGAATTTTACGCAACCATGTTGGATAAAAAAAAACTTAATTTAATTTTGATTTACACAACTTCCCAAAAATATATTATAATTTAGTTGTGCAAAACATTATTTGTCAACAAGTTGGTACACCTCCTCATTGCGATAAAACGGCTGCTAAAATTTTATACAGAGTGTTGATAAATTCCCCACAAACATAACTCATTCTGACTTTTTTTTGTAACTAAACGCTTTTGCATAATGACTTCATCAAAGATTTTTAAATGATAACGCCAACTTTTTCCTTTGCAACGCTAGAGAATCGAAATTTTAATGATCTTTAACTTTGGCTAAGTGAGTAGTTAAAAATATGCATTTTGTTCTCAATATTGATATAATTGAAAGCACTTGTACAAGAGCCAAGCTGATTCCATTATTCGTATGTGGTGTGCCAAAGCTGAAAGTGTGTTTAATACAAGAATTTGTTGTTTTGAATTGAGGGCTAAAAAGTATTGTAGGACATTCTATTAACTCCGGTATGTAATTATTTTAATAACAGTATAACAGTACGTCTGGTGAGCAGAAAAAACATTAAATCTGTCCAGATGTAATTCTTGAGGATAACCTCTAGGTAGGTAAACACCATCTAATATACAAGATGTTTTTGAAATGCGTGTACAAAAACATTTGAGATCTCTAGTGAGAGTAAGAGATCTTCCAGTATTAAAACTAATGTGGAAATAATCGACCCCTATACACACTTTTTCGGCACCACTGATGAATCACCACCAGGTGTGGGGGGTTAATGTACTTTTATAAATCTATAAATCTCACCAAAACACGTTCCCATTTTTTTGTATGTGTAAATCAAAAACTCCCTGTATGTATTGCTATTTTCAGAAATTTCCATTGGATTCGTTCAAAAGCAGAAATGAGAATTTATATCACTATAAGTTTTTTACAATTTCTGCGTTTATGAATAAGTGGATAGGAGGGGGCCTACAACCGAACTCTGAGGAACACTCATTTTTTGATTAAATAATTCAGATTGAAATCAATTCAGTTTGACAAACAAATAAGTAAATATTAATACCACGTCTGTTTATTCAGAATTCGGCGTGAACAGATAAAATGAACAGCCTGTATAGTATATAATATAAGTAGTAACGTTTGTAGTGTGCCCATGTCAGTTCGGTATCATTGTACTGGCAATGACAAGGTGGAAGTTTAAGCATATCAATACCATGCTGTTCCAAAATGTTATCGATTTCATATTTCGTGGGAACATCCAGTGAAATTATGGGTTGAATTAAATCCCATAACTGTTTCTTTGTAAATTTTGGATCAAAAGCAATGTTGAATTTTGTTAAATATTCCTACAGGTCTATTTTTTGAAGACTTGGTAGTGGCTTTTCTAATTCTACGGAGTGATTATCCATAATGACTTCTATTTTAGAACTCTTTGAGGGATTTGGAGACCATATAACATTAGGTAGGTATCAATTGGTTTACAACCCATTCTTTGAACATAGAATTTATGGTTTTATGATATAGTCTATCATTATTTGTAAAGTGTAAGAGAAAGCTAAATCCCTTCATAAAACTCTCTGTCCTTCAAATTTTGTAGGTCTATAGTTCTTTGTGGACATATTGTCATCTACCCATGTTTTTAGTTGAGAACCGTATCTATAAATCCAAGTCATAAGCATGGTAAATTTTTGATCAAAATGTATTTGCCCATCTCCCGTAAAAAATGGAT